CGCCACCGCCTCAGCCGCTGGTTGACCGGGCGAGAAAGTGTGACACGTTACAGACCATTGGTGCAAAAAGTGCGAGTGACTGTCGGTGGTCCGTGGAACATACCAGACGAACAATGGTAACAGCGACCGGCGTACGGAATGGGTGGGACCGAGCACACGGAATGGGTGGGACCGTGCCATGCGATAGACCCCAATGGAGCTCACGTCTTCGACCAGCGCTGCAGTTTTATAGAAAATCATAGCGACAGTAGATACTAGCCGTTTCACGACGGGCTATCTGGCGAATGCACCTGATTTGACCAAATCTGCACCTAATTTCTTTTACAGCAAATATCTTCATTTTATGAATTTATTTCAGTGTTTTTTTTATCGATGATGCTCTGTGATAATATGACAAAGCAGGCATATAAGCAATTAGTGCAACCCTAGCTGATAGATGCTAAGAGACACACTGAACCTGATTTGACCAAATCTGCACCTAATCTGTACCAGATGTGCACCAAATGTGTTCCAGATGGCCGTCGTGAAAACGGCTATAACTTAGTGCGACCTCAACGTGTATTATTGATCTCGTAAACAAAGTCAACCGGAGTTCTGAAGGTTTACCGGGATGGACTGGGTGATGGCAGTGATGTTTCATTAATTTCGTCATTATTTGCAATAGACTGCAGAACGCAAGTTGCACAAAAGACTAAAATATGTTGATGCAATGCAACTTATAATTCAGCCGGTCTATGCTTTTGTAGCGTTAACGGCGCGATGAATCATATTTACACCCAGTTCCTCATTGCCTCCGCTCACTCCGGGAAGTGTCTATCGCCCTCCTGCACCGTGGCGACCTATCTGGAACATATGTCGCGTAAAGCCGTCGTCGAGTGCCGACTGTGCGGGGTCCGACACGCCGAGCGACTATCAAACCGAGCGGGGCGCCCGGTCTTGCAATCCGGTTACCGTGGTGCGGGACACGCTTTCACGACCCCACGCGGCCCTGTCACCGTGGAGCGGAACAACATTGGTATATGGTGTCAATCAGATTTCTTCAGCCGCCCGCAAACGGTGCCCTCGGTAGCCGCAAGCCCGCCAGCCTGTTATCAACGCTTTGCAGAATGGTGAATGCAACGCATCCTGCACTTATTTACATCGAAACGGGCTTGTGTCACGTTTGCCAAGAAAATTCATCAATTAAAGTCACCGTTCTTGAATTCTCTTATCAAGCACCCACCAAACCTAAAAGATAATTACAAATCACATTAATTCAATAGTCAATTGATGAGCATTATTAATTAAGAATGCTATAATAAAGCATACGAGAAATCAAAACTCGAGATCATGTAGCTCGCTAATAGATCTACTCAAGAAACAAGCAGTATTCACATAAAAGTCGCCATCTAACCCGGCAATCATAAGATTGTCATGGTTGCATTTCTCACCGGTGATGTTTAAGCTCATGGAAGCCCAGACGTGCGGGAGGGCTCGGAACACCATGTCAGCGCGGAGCGCTCGTGCCCATGGGTGAGAGGCGACAGCACGTCGCCGCCGCCAGACATGGCTTGTCAAGCGCGCTCCGTCGCCGCGCAGTGCTCGTGAACAATGGAGCCGGGCGCGTGGCGACCCAGCGGCGCTCATTATGATTTGGGCAAGCGTGGCCACTTTCGTTTTCGGGGGTGTGTACCGCTGTCGGTAGTGACAGTGAACGTGGCACATTGAGTGGGCCCTCTCACAGGCCGATACGGTCGACAGCAGACCGATAGGGATAGGGGGACTTGGTGTCATGATGGCATGTGGTCATAGACGAACGCCACAGCGGGCTGGGCTTGATTTTAGCTCAGTAATTGAGCCGTTTCAATGATGATGAAGCGTCTGTGATGATCGTCGCAATAAAGTTAAACGAGCCGTAGGTAGCTGTCGAGGCAACCAGACGGGGTTAGCGTGTCACCACCAGTGGCGACATATGGCCGAAAGTGCCGGCTGAGTTCAGTCAAGATTAAATGGCTCGTCTTGTGACATCACATCAAACGGGCGTCCAGTCTTTCACACATTCACCGGTAGCAAAGCTGTATGTCAGTTCGAAAATTATTGTTACAAGAAATTTTGAATCAAAAGGGTTTTTTTTTGGAAAACTCTTTAGGTCCCTGAACAAGTGACATTTCTCTTCAATCTTCAGGCGTTTCGGGTGATGTCTACAGGGTTCTATACTCTCGCCATGATAAGTACCTCTGGCTGTTTGGCCCGCTTGTTGTGGTGAGCCATGAATCTCTAGCTCGATGCTCTCGCAACAAACCATGACCTGATCTGACCTGCATGTCTGTCCTCAGAGCGACTCGGGCGACAATTACGTCTACCGTCCCTCCAAACTGACAATAATCTGATCTGAGCTGTGCGTCTGCTCTCAGAACGGCTAGTCGGGTCACTATTCTCTTCAATCATCCAAACTGACCTATTCTGACCTGTGTGTCTGTCCGCAGGGCGACTCTGGCGGTCCGCTGCAGGTGCGTGGCAAGGACGGCCGATGGTTCCTGGCTGGCATCATCAGCTGGGGTATCGGCTGTGCCGAACCCAACCTGCCCGGCGTCTGCACGCGCATCTCAAAATTCACCGACTGGGTGCTCAAAAAAGTGGCGACAGAGTGAGGAGGAGTGGCTGTTAGAGGCAGAGTGGATAACTCTCCCAACTCCTTCCACCAAACGGCCCAGCTCAGGAGCTTCGGACAATCAGCGTCAGCCGGGCTGCCGCGCTCTGTTGAGCTGGCGGAACACGGGGCGAGGACAATGCACGTTATATACAACGTCAGGACCATGTCCTGACGTGCCCGTGGAATAACTGTAACGTCAGTGTAACGTCAGTGAACGGCGCAGCGACGCCTCGTTAGCAGCTGTTGATACTCAAACTCCTGGAGAATGGTAAATGTTACAGAGCTGAGCTGTAAGTCAGAGGAGACATAGCCGGAAGGAGTGTGACCACTGGCTACTGGCCCTGCTGATGCGAGTGCTGACTGATGTGACTATTGTGTCGCGAGCGTTTAAGCTTTGTTTGCTGTTGAGTTGTGTGCAGGACGGAAGTTAATAGCCATATAATACGTTACTGCAGGCTCAATGATTGGCACTCGGCACCGACCACTCACGAGCGTTTCGAACCGTCTGTGTCATGTATGAGAGTGAGGGCGAGTGGCAAATGACTAAAGGAGAACGTTCACGGAGAGAAATTACCTATCACTGTTCCAGTTGAAGAGTCTGTCTGAGCTACCTTGGTGGTGTTCGTGTGTTTGTGAGGTTGTTGATTCTTTACATGTTACCGATGCACTAAGCTGTTACAACTTGCCAGTTCCGCGAGCATGGCTGGCATCTGCGTGCTTAATGCACAGATGTGTTTATTTGAAATGCGGAACAGCTTCTTTTCAGTCATAATATATGAATCAAACACGATTACCCGTCCGAAATACATATATGAGCATGACCGTATACCTCTGGTAGCGTGCATGTACCGTCAGGTGGCGCCATAGGCAGTTACTCGGTAGTCGGTACATTATACCAGGCACTAGGCAGGCACTAGGCAGGCACTAGACAGTATGTACCAGAGAGCGTACCGACAGGTGGCGCCACTGGCAGCCGCTCAGTACTAAACGGGCAGTCGCTCGGTACCAGGCGGGCAGGCGCTCGGTACCGTAGATGGCTGCATGGCTGGTACCGTCAGATGGCACCACAGGCACCTGCTCGGTACAAGACAGGCAGACGTCCGCTACCACAGAGGGCTGGAACTGTCAGGTAGCCGGGCATAAACGGGTGCTCACTGCTCAAATACAGGTCACCGTTCCATGCTTCCATCCTCAGGAAACTGAAATCCTTCTCCTCCACACCGCAACCCCCCTCCGGGCTGGACAGGCAACTTTATCTCATGCGGGCCGCTCCCTTGGAGCGGCGCCGCTGCTCCCGAGGGAGCACACCCCGTAGCCGGGTGCAGTGAGTGCCTTGGGGCTGGGTGGCCTGTCTTCGGACGGGCTCAGCCCCGGCGACTCACTAGGGTGCCTGCCCAGACCAATGTCTCCCCCTATATCCTATCATCCTCCCGGCTCTGAAATGGTCTTACTGGACCGAAAGGGCCTAACCCAACAAAACAAACAAACAAAACAATCAAATACAGGTCACCGTTCCATGCTTCTATCCTCAGGATACTGAAATCCTTCTCCTCCACGCCGCAACCCTCCTCCGGGCTGGACATGCAACTTTATCTCATGCAGGCTGCTCCCTTGGAGCGGCACCGCTGCTCCCGAGGGAGCGCACCCCGTAGCCGGGTGCAGTGAGTGCCTTGGGGCTGGGTGGCCTGTCCTCTGGACGGGCTCAGCCCCGGCGACTCACTAGGGTGCCTGCCCAGACCACTGTCTCCCCCTATATCCTATCATCCTCCCGGCTCTGAAATGGTCACAATTGACCGAAAGGGCCTAACCCAACAAAACAAACAAAGCAAAAATCAAATACAGGTACTCAGTGCTGCAGTGCACGACTACAGTACCACGAAACGTGCAGTACTGAGTCGTATACCTACGAGTCGGCTTTCCTATGAGTCGCATACCTACGAGTCGGCATCACAAGGAATTGACTAATCGCTAGGTACAAAAGCTTCGAACTATACATATGTAAGTGCATAAATTTTTAGCTCATCATATCGGGAGAATCACATCTGTAGCAGTTACATATGGAACAATACCAAACTTTTGCGATAGTTCCGTCCTGGAACAGGCATTTGACATCGAGTTACCTCGAGTTTGAACAGCGGAAACGGAGGTGTCGTTATCAGGCATCACGTCACACGGTCTAGAACGGAAGCGAAAGAAACATGAAATACCGACCAAAAGTTTATATTTTCGGCCAGTCTTTACAATAGTCGCACCGGCACCTCGCCCGTCTCTACCGCCGGCCGGGGAGGTAATGCCTCGACTAGTTACGACCGCCGCTACTAGATGTCTCTGCCATCGGCCGGCAGAAGCCCCGCGGCAGAACCGGCAGTAGCCGAGTCGCGCAGACGGCACGGCGAAGCCCCAACGATGGCCGCCCTGCGACGGCCCGCTCCCCTACTGCTACTGCTTCTGCTGCTGGCCACCGTCCACAATGGGCTCCAAGGTATGTGCCGGAGAGAGGATTGCTGTTTTGGCAAGCACTGGATCTGCTGCGTGATCGTGGCTCTTGTGTGTCCCAAGTGGTTCTGTATCCTCGTTGCTACGCCTTGTGACGGCAAAGCGTTTGACGATTTAAGCTTTACAGAAGCGTGATAAGAGCGTAACTGAGCAAGAAATGTGGATGTGTGTAGTATTGTCGCATGTATGTGGTGCATTAGGATCATCGGCCTGAAAGGACGTAGGTATAGGATTTAAGTAGGCTAACAAACCGACAGCATTGGTGGGACTGGGAAGGTTCAATGGCTGCAGAGGGCGATCTTCCCACCAGCATGGAGAGTGTGTTTTTGTTCACCTGCCTTCCCCTATCAGTGATATATCGCTGACGATGTGGAGATACCTATGTGGAAGACGGCTTAGTGCGCTCTCTGTATCCAGAGAGTCGCATTAATTAAGCCGTGCCCGGGTCGCCGTGCATTGTGACGCACAATTCGGTAAAGGCACGTTCTACGGTAGCACTTTTTATATGGAGATAATTCTGCTCATGCCTCATGGCATGGACACTGACAGTCATTTCATGCAAAGCATTCGATCGTATAATACGTAATGTCATGATAGATCTGCAAAACGTCTTTTGGGGAAAGCACAAGCGGAACTTGAGACCTCCGGGCTCCCATTGTTACTGCTTAGTGTGGGTCAACCATCCATACATAATCGGTCCCTAAGAGCGTATGTATTTCAGCGCAATCAGCCCAGCCCTGTCGTCGAGAATGAGATGTAGAAGGCGCGGCCACGTGTGCACATAGGTAGGAACGCGCTTTCAAAGTGAGACCCCAACTGAGCTGCACCGAGCACGACTCTCCGGTCACCAACGGCGGGCCAAATTTCAAAGAAATGTAGTGGCGGCCCCTGCACGTGCATGCAGTAGCAATCTAACCATGACACATTGACATGCATTGTCCGCAGTGGCGGCGGAACACCCTCGTCGGACCTATTGGTTTTCTACATACGCGCCGGCCGAGGGGGGGGGGGACGGGTACGACCCCCTCGCCGCTTCGCCCCTGGTGGAGCTAGCGCGTCGCGGAAAAAAAACGAGCGTGTGCGCCGTTACGAGACGCAGAGAATGGTATCCGATTTTAAGGTCCTAGGTCAACTGGTGACCTCTGAGGTCAGGTCAAGTGCCCCAAGGTACGGTTCAGTTTTTGGTAAATAACTTCGCAAAAACGGCCGCAGAGCCGCGATTTTGGCAGCATCGTGTTCGCCTCGCTCAGGCGCAGGGCTGCGGAGTCGATGGATTTTCGGCGACTCCGACTCCGACTCCGACTCCGGCTTTCAAAAACCAGCTCCGACTCCGACTCCGACTCCGGGCAGAATTGTCGACTCCGTCCGACTCCAACTCCCGACTCCGACTCCGCAGACCTAGCAGGGCTGCGGAGTCGACAGATTTTCGGTGACTCCGACTCCGACTCCGGCTCGGGTTTCTAAAATCGACTCCGACTCCGACTCCGACTCCGGTCACAACTGTCGACTCCGACCGACTCCGACTCCGCAGCCCTGCTCAGGCGCTTCGAATGATATACTTCTTGTTCGGGTCAGGTCAACTTAGGGTGTTGACCTCAGGTCAAGGTCAGGTCAGCATCCCCAGGTCACGAAGTTGGTCGAAAGAGGTCATGTCGCATAGCATTCGATTCGGCAGGGCTTCCTGACTCCATTGGTGGCTTTCCCGACTCGCTAGCTCAATTTGATCAAGAGTTATTGACGAAAAACTAATATGACTTTGATGACGTCATAAATGACGTCACGCAAGGTCAACATTGCAAAAGTGGCGCATCTAACCTTGCAAGGAGTGCATCAAATCACGATTCTGTGTGCTTGAGATAGTTGGAGGTCGTTCCCGGCGCCACAATAGCAGTTTTCATTTTCCCCCTTTGACCCCCCCCCCCTTTGGTAATGGTGAGGTCACGAAAATGACCTGACCTCATATAACCTTTAGGAAAAATCTGAGATATGCAAGTTGTGAGACTCATAATGGATACTAGGTCCTGCAAGTTTCATTTCCCTGTGTCATCTCCTCTGGCAATGAGGGCGTTGCGAAGTTGCGACATCTGAAGACCGTGCAGAGGCTCACTTATGACGTCATAGGTCAGTGACCTGACCTGAACAAAAAATGCGGCTGGTGTCAAAAGATCCGGCTTGAATCAAAGGTCGTATGCCAAGTTTCAGCTCTCTATCGCCAGCGTGTTCGGAGCTATCGCGAAAAAAACCCTATGGGGGGCGGCACCCGCCCCCCCCCCCCTCGGCTGGCGAGGGTTAAGGCATACTGATCCATACATTTTACCTTGACATAGGGCCTGGTATATAGGGCCTTAACATTTTGCAAATGCAATAGACAAATGCGAGACATTAGTCTAACACCGATGCAATGTATATTTCTACGAATAATCTTCAAATAAACGATATCATTTAACCCGCGCCCCACGGGGGAGGGGGCTATTCATAGCCCCCCTCCCGTTTTTCTGCAATGACTTCCAAACCGTTCAATATATCGACGCCAAACTTTCAGTACCTTCGGCTGTATCAATTTGACACCTTGTGTCAAAATATGAACTTCGTAGCTACCATTGGTCGGCCAGAAATGACGTCAGAGTGACGTCATGTTCGGCCGATTTCGACGCAAAACATTGAGCCACGGCAATCGCTCCCAAGAGCTCAGTTTTTAAGCTAGATCCATTTTTTTTGCATGAAAGGACTCAGAATAGACTGCGCTATCAAACTGCTCTCTCAGATTTTCACAATTTTGAAAATTTCGAAAATTTTATATAATACAACTTAAAATTTATATTTTTTTATTTTTTTCAAAATGTTTTTGACTTTTCGAAAAACCGGAATATATGCGATAGATCGCATGCTTATGACTAACTCTACCAAGTTTTAGCTAAATATTTTCAAAAAACGGCCAAGTTATACGCATTATTGCAAAAAAAACTCACAATTATTAATTTTTCAAATCAATTTTTCAGCACGTATTTGACATTGTACACCAATATAAATAGCACCATCGTGTTCCTGAGCTCATACTGCATCCAATAGACACCTTTTTGTTGAAAAATTTTAACTTCAAAATTTGACCTTTTTGACCTGAAAGTGACCTGACCTAAGCTAAATCCAACTCAAAATGACCTCAAATGACACAGACGACATCAAATTCGAAATCTATGGCCTAAATGGACCATAAAACATGTGTCACGTGACCGACGCATGATATAATATTTCCGTGATCTGCGATGACTTGACGACCCTGATCTGAAAATCAAAGTACAAGTTTGGTACCCTCAGGGTTTCTAGAGCATCTGTTTACGAGTGTGTAAACCAAAAATGAGCCTGATCTGACTTGTAAGACGGCTGCCAGAGCCCAAAATGTGAACAAGCCAAAATGCTAATAATTTTTACTTTGACCTGACCTGTGACGTCATCGGTGACCTTTAGGTAAATGAAATTAGGTTTTATTCGACAGTTTTTCCGGGGCTATCAGACGCCGTTTGAATTTTGACGATCGGCCCAGTAGTTTTGGAGTTAGGAGGGGGGCTAGGAGAGCCCCCCCCCAGTAGGGCGTGTTATACCTACGCAGACCCCAGTGGGGCGCGGGTTAATAGCTATAAACTATAAATGAACAGTATTATTTATATGGCACACATACTTCTTACTGCTATGCTTGTTTTTATTTAGGGATGATTGAAAGTAATATTTTTGAAAGGAATCCAGAGATTCCTCGCCCCTGCGCTGACATTCAATAGCGCAAGGACTGTTCAATGTTCATGTCAGCTGCATTTTTTGATGTCCAAATGTCTTATTGTGTGTTGGTTGATTGTCGATGACACGCGATTGGGGATGTTTGCAGAAAAATATAAGCCTAAGCTGTAAATGAAGCCTTCGCCGTATGCCGCAGAAACCGGATCCTGGTCGCAGTATGCTGTTACCTATATCAGCGAGCTATCCTATGTGATGTAGGTAGGCATTATTCACTGTTGTCCCCTCCTGTCAGGAAGGTATAACCAAGTCAAAGTACTACACTGAAAACAAAATGACACAAAAAACGACTAAAAACGCACAGGCAGAGCGTGTTAACTAGGCTTTCTTGTGTACCCTGCATCATGCATTTTTTGACCCGTCGCAGACGTGTCAATTTACAAATGTGTTAACCCAGTCGTGTTGTGTCCTAAAACACAATATCATTGTGTCTTCAACACATAAGGCTTGTGTGAATACATTTGCAGAATACAAGGTAAATATGTTACTAAATTTAACCCAAATCGCAAGTGAAAGAAGGAAACACGTGGTGATTATGTAGTTTGTTGCCGGGGCGCAGTTGAAGGGACTATGGCTTTGGCTGGACAGGCTAACTGCCAAAGCCGGGCCCCGAGTGGAATCGGGCGCTCGGGTGCGGTCAGGGCTGAGTACCCGGCCGGCCGACCCATACGGTCAGGGCGCGGTCAGGGCTGAGCACGCGGGCGGCCGACCCATACGAGGCCGCCGACCCATACGCGAGCTGGAGTTGCGCCCGGTCGGCCACTTCAGAGCCGAAGGGTGAACGCGTCACGTGGACGGCTCAATCAGAGCACCAAGTGACGAAGCCCCAAATTGGAGGACTACCGTACAATACAGTTGTTCAAACAGCCGGGATAAACTTACAGCCACCGATTTTTCAAATATATCCTATATAGACGGAGGAGTTTCTTCCTTAGCTATGCTTCAGCTTGCACTTGATGTAATCAGCGCATATTGCTCTAGACAATTTAGCATGTATCGACTCCCTCGGCTGTATTGTGCATTTTGACCTTTCTCAAAACACTTTGGCAAATTTTTACAAAAACCCAGCATAAAAGTCGGTGCTCGAAAAACGCCCTCTCTTATCCCCATTTGAAGTTAAGGTTCAGAGCTCACTCACTGGTGGATGGCACAGTGTATTTGTGCAAGGGTACACGTCTACCATATCCGACAACACATGAT